CTAGTTAAATACATTTACGAATGTTTCAAAATTAGAGAAAATAACATGAAAAAGCCTTGATTCTCATCCAAATAAACAACAATATTAATATCAAGGCATATCTGCAAGGTTTTTTTTTTTTTTTTTTTTTTTTTTTCTGTTATCATTTTTATGATATTTTATCTTATTGTCTTTCTTGTTTTTTTTTTTCATCCACACTTTATTGTAATTTAACTCAAGATCCTATAAAGGATACATATCAATAAAGTTTATTATTATTATTATTACTTCATACGTAGGCAGGCGCTACATGTCTAAGTCTAAGTATACATATTTCATACGTAGGCAGGCGCTACATGTCTATCTAAGTCTAAGTATACATACTTCATACGTAGGCAGGCGCTACATGTCTATTTAAGTCTAAGTATACATATTTCATACGTAGGTAGGCGCTACATGTCTATCTAAGTCTAAGTATGTACATACTTCATACGTAGGTAGGTAGACGCTACATGTCTATCTAAGTCTAAGTATGTACATATTTCATACGTAGGTAGACGCTACATGTCTATCTAAGTCTAACTATACATACTTCATACGTAGGTAGGCGCTACAATACCGTCATGTCGTACTTGAACTTCTTTCACATGTCTGGTATTGAAGGTATAAAAGCACTAACATTTGTGTTTATGAAATGAAAGGAAGAATTGTCCAACTCAGATATCAAATTAGTTTGACGGCGTTGCATACGAACGGAAATCGGCGCGGGACACAGGTTATTTGTAACTAAACAAAAAATCAAGCCAAATAAGTTCATTTATTCAAAGCTATGTATAAAAACTAACATGCAGAATATTTGCAGTCTGGTGAAAAAATGTACACTGTATATTCATTTATTGATTGCTGATAACAGTTTTAAAATAAAAAGTAAACATGATGTTTACATTATTCAGGTATACAATGTGTATATATTCGTTATTAAAGGTTAACAGTTTGCACTGTCTGATCCATAGTGCTGATAAAATGACAGGGGTTCATTACATTATATTACAATTTAAAACAAAATAAAATCTTTATTTTTCTTTCAAAACGTTCAAGTAGACGATACAAAAATGCATGTGGACAGATATTCATTTGTCTGATTTTAACATACAGGCAACAATTTAACCTCTAATTCAGCAGACTTGAGTTTAAGAGAAATCTATTGTCCTTTTATATTGACTGTCACTGTGACAAGCAAGTTTGCACCCTATAACAGGGCAACCAGTATCTAAAGCGGATAATACATGGCTCATCCCCAAGTAGTATTCTCCGGCATTTACGATACGTACAGTGACGATTCATAGTTTTACATGTGCCAATTTTTCATCACATCGTTTTTTTTCGATTTACTGTCACAGTAGACCACATTCTGTGAGTGACGTAACGTGTCATAACATAATTGCTAAAAGTCTCAAATTAGACAGGAAAGGGTCATCAACAGCTAAATCACAACCCCGACCAGAACATATCATTATAGCTGATATTTTTTTCTGAACTGTGTACAGAAGCATGATATATACGAACTCGATATTAACGCCTAATAATTTGCTCTTATTTTTAAGTAAATCTTTTAAAGACCGAATCGCTACAGTTTCTAGTCGGTTCTAGTTCAAGCAATGTGATGTAAAATCAGTGTATAACGCACATTTTGAATTTCAGCGTCGATTGTACCTTTTTTAGAATTATATATCCCCGTTTAGATTTAAAAATGATTAAATCATATCTAAACATTAACACACGAAAATTTATGTTTAAAATGGAATATGTTTTGGATTTCGAGTATTTGTGTAGGTGGGATAGTTTTAATTTTCTCTACGATGGGACGAATACTTCGAGTGGTTCCCACAAAACACACAATTAAACTTTATCGAGACACATAAAATTCTACGAAGAAATTAAAATGGTTACATAACAAACAGGAAAAGCAATTCTACCAAAATTAACGATCAACGAACTGAAGACAGGTGAATTACCATGTCGTAGAGGTCGTACTTTAATAGAAATACGCATGCGCACTCGGATAGCAACCCAAAATGGCAGCCTGGAGATTAGTGTAAACAGTGGGCGATATACGCATCATTTTAACTGAAACACGATAGCAAAGGAACCTGTATTTAATATTGGAAAGGTAGGTATATAACGTGCATGTCCAGACATATATGTATATATCATGGCATGGCGATAACCGTGTTGGGCCCAGGCCAAGTACCGCCAATCAAATGTCGAGTTCGAGTGTTATTATTGATTTAGTAGTGTAGTCATTGATCGAGAACCCGCCTATCATGGACCGATTTAGAAATGGCTATTGTTTGAGTTGTAAATTAGTCCAGTTCATGCAACTTTATGGAGGGACTGTTAAAAGACAATTATTGGTGAAAAGACTTGTTCTATTACATGCCCCGTGGTTCAAAAGATCATATTATGCTGCTATGGAAAAAATGACAACTTAAAAAAGGAATTACAGGACAAAAAAAATATGTTTTGACACAGTCCCTCTATAGATAGATATGATAGAGGAACTGTGGTTTAGAAAACCAAATTAACAACAAAACATGAACATAACACTTCTCATGTCACTCTTTGATCTTATTACCAGTACATATGATGATGTATGGGATGATGAAAGTACTATAAAATCATTATTTGAGGATGTCCATCTTCATTCTGCAGATTTTTACTTGGTATCTCTAAATACACTGCAAAAATGACAATCTGTGGTGAACTAGAGAGATACCAGGTCGACATATTCATTAAGAAACAATTAATTAAATCATTTAATAGATTCAGCAACCCATCAAATACATTGTTAATAGAAACAACAAGAAAAAAATGGTTTCAAACAATTGAAAAACTGCTGAGTATTGATTTTGATCAGATCATATTTTTTCGAGGGGGATACTTTCAACGTCATTTACAAAAAATTATTTGAAATACAGTGGGGAAATGATCCATAATGACAATAGAATTCCTATAATAATTTAAGGACATGCAGAATGTTGGTGTTTTTGTTTTGTTGACCATTTTACAATTTCCAGGAGGTAAACGATTCCTATTATTATACATCTGTCACTGTAACGCCAAAAGTTACAGCGTGCTGTAATTTAGCGGTATTTTACGGGCTATTTTCATCCTACCATATTAGTAAATGCATATTCTAAATATGGAATGATTACGCGTGTAAGCATCCTCTAATAATAACAATAAACATGGCTGCCACCAGGGTTTGACTGGACACCACACAAAGTAATTCGCTGATTTTGTTCTAAACTTTTTGGATTTCGGCATTCCCATGATGTATCCTTGGAAGGAAGAGATTTATAATAATAATGTTATTATGAGGATACCTCAAAGTATACTCATACAGTACGCAGTCGCATCAACCTCCGCTGCACGTCGATCGATACTTCCGCTGTACTGACTTGTGACATTTCATAGAGAACTGACCTCATTTTGTTTTGGATTTGTGTAGGAGTGATATAGTATTAGACACTATTCATATCTATCATTGAAAAAGGACACTTTGCCAAAACTCTGGTTATATTGACACTTTTAATTGTTATGGGATTGGATTACATTGACCACATTTAATCAAGGATTGGTCATGTTGGTTTAGGATTGGATACTCAGTAACAATTTAGTCAGTTTCAAGTATAATATTAGTTTTCCATTATATAAAATAGGAAGTGATCTCCCACAATGCATTGCATACATGTTTAGTAAAATGCTCAGTGGAATTGAAGTTATTTATGGTGTGAGGAGCACTATGGTTGATTCTTTATACAGATATTTAATGCTATACGTACTAGTCATTTCCCTATTACAAATATCTTGATTACCCGGTATGTCTACCATCAAAATGTTATTTAGAATGTACAGAATTTTTCTTTTAATTTTGCAATCAGCATTTGATAAAGTTTTGATTTCGGTGACCATATTGCATTCCAAAGGGTCTCATTTGTTTATTCATTAATTTTGGTTTTGTTATATTTATAATCTTTTATGGATTAGTGGATATTAAAATATCTGTGGTCTAGGTCAAAACAACTCATTTTTATTTTAAATTTTGCTGGTATAATTTTGTTTCTTTTTTTATTTCTTCATGTTGATTAAAAAACAAATTTTCAGATTATAAATTATTCAATCACAGTTGAGCTGATCATATTTTATTAAATGGATTTAACTTTTTCCTGTTACAGATTGTGGCTATTCATACATTGATTGATTCAAAGGTAATATTTACATATCAAGATGAATCTTGATACTGTTGGTCGAATCCGTCCATCAATTCGCGGTGAAGGACCCCATAGTTTGAATATAACAGGACATCATAGAATTGTGGGAAGAGAAAGTGGTCATGGACACAGGTAAGAATAATTTTACCTTATCCACTTTCATAATTAAAATTAATGTTTATAAATTTAAATATGACAAATATTTCACCAAAGTGTTGTAAAAGTCAGATAATAGATTTACAGTAAAATTCTTCTCATTGTTTATTTTTAGTTATTGAGTTATCACACAATGACCAAATTTCACTTAAATATTGTTTTAGACACAATTGCATGGATAAATGTTACCCTACACAAGGCTATATCACATAAAATGCGGTGTGAAAACTAACTGTTGAGTAGTCGCCATCATTGAAATTTTGATCACGTAATGGAGACTGTAGAAAATTATGACGCATGATATACACTTTTATGGGAAGTGACACATAAAATCATCAGAAAGTTAATATACTCATGTGAGAACAACTTTGTTCTGAAAAATGTTCATTGACTAAACAGGCATTATTTATAATGAAGAAACTAGTAAATGTGGACTGTTTGGAATGGAACAAAAATAGATTGGTTCCTTAGTAAATGCAGACAAAGCAATCTGAATGAAATATATCTCTTATCGAAAGTACCTTATGTTTATTAACTGATTGATATAAGAATGTTTGTGCCCGTGAAATGCCTATCAACACATCAATGTTTTTTTGGTTCTATTGCTTTGAAATTTGTTATTTGTAAAAACAAAATAAAATAATCAGGTTCAATTGATAAGATCTTGTAGCTATGTCCTCCCTCCTGTCATACTTGAGTGTTTCTGGCCTTTACCAGAAATTGTAACTTGTGCCACCTATTAAAGACAAAAGTAGCCAAGCAAGTGTCATCACTGAATATTGTAACTAGGACACCAATGAAAATGATGCTTTTATTGTTCTGCAATTAACAGAATATTATGAAATCAACTGATTAAAGGGTAAATTTATATTCTGTTTCTGTCTGATTCTGGTTTGCAGATGACATTAAACTGCATGCATGTACTGTCATTATCTAGTATGCAGTCATATTTGCTTGTGTTTACAGAAGAAAAGTCATGATCTGAGCATTGCCTCAAATTAAATAATTATTTTTACTGCCACACAGCAAACTAAAAATATATACAATGCAATTGTAAGCCATGATGACAAGATGCAATATTAACATACATAACATGCTAGAAATTTGTATGGATAACTGTAAATAAGTTTTTATTGTACGAGAAATTAGAACCAGAAGTTTCTCTAAATCCATGTCAAAATTTATGCTTCACAACAACGACATCATCAAGGTGTACTTGTATGCAAATTATGACAAATGACAAGTCTCGTTGTAAGGAGGAATAAATTACTGACAGTAAACAACAACTTATAAAAATATTTATATTGTGCTCAGTTATATACTACAGTATTAATAATAATCTTCATTAACCAGTTTATGATATTAAAGTGGCAAGTGTTTTACAGGTATTTTAAACCATATTATAATCTGACAGGCAGCTGGTTTACCAACTGACCGTTAAAATCTCTGGATTTAATCTTGATAACCCATCAGTTAACTACTGATATGTTATACTATGAGTGAGCTTTGACATTATTTTGTGACAGTATTTCATATACTTCTATGTGTACCGGTAGTGCTTATTTGGTACTTTTCTAGCTTCAAAACTTGAACATTGAAAATCATTTTTCTAATATGACGTAATGTCAAATATTGCTAAAAACTATATAAATTTATAAAATGCTGTTAAGTTTTCTTAAACGAGGTATATCTTGTTTAATGCATGTCATTTTAACAAATGGTCCAGTTTTGCATTAATTTTATTAAAGGTACATGTATACGTTCTTGTTCATGTAGAGTAATGTTTGTACTGGTGTATCCTGAAAAGTTTTATTTTTAAAAATAGTTTTCACTAATTTTTAGTTTTCAGATGTTATACAAGCAGGAGTCATCAAATTTTGATGTTTATCGTAAAACTGTTGAACCCATGTTGAATATCTACTTAGCTGGTTATAACTGTGCTGTCTTGTCCATTGGAGAGAGCTATTCTGGAAAATCATACACTCTGACAGGAGAAAACACAAATAAAGCTGGAATAATTCCTATATTCCTGGATGCCTTGTTTAATAAGTTGGATGATGGTCGAAGGTCTGGTATGTATGGGTCACACCTCTTTCTTCATAACATCTTAATATTCACATCCCATGGGTACTTATCACCACATTATTTGAATATTGTCAAGATGATTTATTATTCGAAAAATGTTGTATCAAAGATAAACGATTTAACTAAACAAATTTGCTATTTGTACAGATGAAGCATACATGTATGATGAGAAAGTCAAGATTCAGAAAGGACAAGTTACTCTGCAAATGATTGAAATCTATAATGAGACAGTCAGGGATTTGTTACAGTTACCGTCTGCTCGGAATCCAATACCACTGAAAAACACTCCACAAGAAGGAGTCACAGCTAAGGTATGAAAAACAGTGTCTCTTATGTAACACATATGCACATGCATTCAATTCACAATTTATTCAGACAAAGTCTGAAAATGGGACTTGTTTTCACCTGTACATGTATCTCCTACAAATCACATTCAAACATACATGTGTATACATGCATCTTGGGAAACTTATGATTTCATTCGTCTTCCGAACTGATTTAAAATGGCCGAATGGTGGCCATTTTTGTGCTCAAAATTCATCAAAATCAAGCATTTCTGGGGTTCGGAGCAGGCTTATAAATTGAGTTGTGTCCATAGGTCTGTATGTGCATATATGCGTTACTAGCTTTTTCTCACGCATGTGTCTTCCAATTCAGTTCAGAGTACAGAGACAGGTATTGTTGGTGTACAGGTGCACGTCAAGTTATTTTTTGATTGAATACATTTTGAGTGGTTGGCGGCCATTTTTGTCTCCAAAAATCTATAAAAAAACCACGTTTTCTAGTCGTTACCAGTTCTTTCTCAGACATGTGTCTTCCAATTCAGTTCAAAATTGGTACACAGACAGGTAATAAGAGTTTACAAGTGCACATCAAGTTATTTTTTATTGAACACATTTTTACTGCTTGGCGGCCATTTTTGTCCTCAAAAATCTAAAAAAAACAAGCTTTTTCTAGCGGTTACCAGCTTTTTCTCAGATATGTGTCATCCAGTTTTGTTCAAAGCTGGTACAGGGACAGGTAATAATTGTTTACAATGTGCACATCGCGTTATATGTTGATCAAGTTATTAGCCCCCGTCGGATCTGCGATCCGGGCGGGGGATATTAATTTGGGTCGTGTCTGTGCAAATGTGTGTGCACACATTTTTATGTTACCAGCTTTTTCTCACACATGTGTGATCCAATTCAGTTCAGAGTTGGTACAGAGACAGAAATTGATGGTGCTATTGTGCACATCAAGTTATTTTTTCGATTCTTCAAAGTTTCACTGTGTTTTTCCTTGATTTTTAACATTTTCCTTAAAAATCCGACTTTTCCCGAAATTACTCTAGTTTAATCCGAGTTTTGATGACGCTTACGCAGTTCTCGTCTCGGTGGAAATCAGTCATTTTTGTGAGGATATTGTATCCCGGAATTGTATCTTTATTTGTTTATAGGCTTATATGGACAAAATTGTGTCTCGTCAATTTCAAAGGTAAGAAACTGTGCTTGTTATGGTATTTATACACTTTGTATTATCGTTTGTGTCTCGGGTTTGGTGATCGTGAGAAACTATTGCTAACCTGGCGAGAGTTTCGCCAGAAAAACTGCCTTAAGTTTTTATTATGGTTGTAGGAACTGATTATGTATTGTGTAAATTGAAAGTTCACCACGTGATTTAAGAGGTTTGCAGTGCTCTCACCGGGATTCAAACGTCATGGTCGTGGTGGTGTCGGCGCAATGCTGCTCTGAGACGCTTGCCAGACTCTGCCTCACTCAAAATCATTATCGCCATGCTTGATTTCCGCAACATTTACATTTGTTTATGGTTTCCACAGCTATTGTTCTATGAGATGCATCCTTGCTGTTCATAAACAGCCATAAACAAGTTTAGTTGGGTCGGCATGTACTCATTGAAAGTGTTGGTTTATTTACGTAATCCACTGTTCACGCAATAGGCGAAGTTAAAAATATGTCGCTACTCAGGAGAGATGGCCCACAACGCTAAATGTCCCAATATAAACGTACCGGTACGTTTATTTTTTCCACAGAAAAATTCCACCCGGCACATTTTTATTTGGGACGGTACGTTTATTTATTTT